TAACTCCTATCAATGTTTCTCGCAAGTACGTTGATTGTACATATGTTGCACTTTTTCCTTCGGTATTTGCTTTCATTCAATCGTCCCTCTACTAAAATGGTTCTTGTAATTTTATGTTCTTTTACAGAAGGCATTAATTTAAATTAAATTATTTAAGTGCATTGAATTATTTATAATTTCTTTACATATGTATATATATGTATATATATATATATATATATATATATATTAGTTTATAGCCATAACAAAATATGTAGGCATAATAATATATAAATTGTTAATATTTTTAATTGAATTGTATTTACGATAAATAAATGTATTTATTTATAATAACTAAATCAATGTGTTACTATTGAAGTTTTGAGGCAGTGTGAAATATATATAAAAATGCCATTTTTGTTAATTAAAAAGGAACTAACGTATCATACTATTTTAATCTATTTAAACGCTCGTTTATATTACTTGTTATAAAAATATTAAAGTCATTATAAATAATTCATAATCAGTGAAAATTTGTTATTTTTGAAAATTCAACTTAAGTTAGATAATGTTTGCTTTTAGTCTTTTTCGATCTTTATAAGGAATATTAAAAATCTATATAAAAATTCGTCATCAAATTTATCAATATTACATAATCGTTATTATCTTGGACTTCCTTGACTACATTATTATTAGTTTTTTGTATGTATTCTAAAAAACATAATTTCTGATCATTCCTTGATCTTAAGTCCATTTTAATTCATCAACATAAAGTTATATAAATGTTCGGGTAGTTTTCATATTAGTAAGCGGAACTTAATATTTATTATCAAAAAAAAAAATCTTATTTCTAAAAATATCACAAATTAAAACAATATTTATAAAGCAAAAAATATCCTCGTGTAACACGAATATATATGTGGCCAACACCACATCAAACGTTACCATTAAATTCTCAATATCATAAATACGAATTTGAATTATTATTATAATGTAGTAGATAGAATAAGAATAACTCACTGGACGATACAAGCACCGCTTACTTATTTCCTCCCGCCCTCACTCCCATTTCACACTCACAACTAAAACATGAAATACATATATAAATAACTATATGTATACACGATATGTATAACTCTATATAATATTATTTAAATAAAGAAATGTTAGTAAAATGACAAAAAAAATGGAAGTGGTTTTAAGCAGACGAGACAGGGAGCGGTCGCGGGTATACTAGTCGATGTAACTTCTCCTATGCGCACCCCATACAGCGTTGACGGCAGTGGTACCGGCAAACCCCCTCTGTCGGTTGTAATCTATCTTCTTCTCTCCTACCTTGCTTGTGTTTCACATCAACACATAAAGGTAACCGATGCCATTCCCAACGTCGATATTACTCCCATGCTCCGTCCTTATCAATGCTACTATTCGTTCACTTTATCTACTTTTATACATCAATACTTATTTTTCAAAATGTACTGTTTCCAATGTCTTTTAATAATACAGTTTATCTTTTTGTAAAAACATGAACAAAAATTTTATTATGTTTAGGGCTAAACTCTCTCTTTTAAAATGGATATCAGTTTTATAATATTTTCAATTATAAATACAAAGATTTTGAAAAATTTTATACTGCTATAAAATACATACCGAACTTAGTGACTCTATTAAACTAAAGTACCATATATATACTTATTATACATGATGGATAAAACAATGTAGCTTATTCATATTTAGCAAACAAATTTGAAACAATCAAGATATTAAATTTAAATAAAAAGGATATAATATACATTATGGATAAAATAGCAATTTATAAATTAGATTTTATATAGAAATTAAGCATTATATTCAATTGTTTACGTCTAGTCAACTATCAAATTCGAATTATAAATATTACAACTATTCACTGACAAAAAATGAATATACGATCAAATTAACTTCAAACTTAATGCCATACGAACTAGGTAATTGAAAAAATTATATTATATAATTTGACTAATATAATTAAATAAAGTTCTGTATTATAGTAAAAAATATATAGTAGAAAGAGATATATGGCGTGGAACATATAACATAAAATTTTAATTATTCTACTTCTCTTTGTCTGTCTCTCTCATTCTCTCTCTTTCTCTCTCTCTATCTTACTTTCACTCAATCACTAATTCAAAACATTTTTTTATATTAACTTATATATTTTTTATAAATGTAAAATCTATAGTATATTAAATATATAATTAGAAATTTAAAAATGTAGAAACTTTTAAAACATATTTCTCTTCATTCAACAGCTTTTAGTTTTTATTTACTTTAATTTTATTAGACTACATAAATCAATTTAAAATTTTAAGAATCAAAACTTAGGGAAATAAATTTAATAAATTTGAAGTGAATATTTAGCTTAATACGAATTAATTTTAATATAAAATTCTTATTATTTTCAAAATATTTTAGTGAATTTTTAGTATTTATTTTTAAATTCATATGAAAAATTTTATTTTATTTTAACTAATTTTAGAAGTAATTTTTTTTTATAATATTCCGATATGAAACAAAAAAATAATGCAATTTGAATCTATTCTTGTAATTAAAACTCTTTATTTCATTATTATAATTTATTTTTTTATATCTAGCATTTTTAATTCTTAATAATCTTCTAAATATTTGATCATATTAGACATTTTTATCATAACATAGTTAGTATATATTGTATACATGCACAATAATTTCAATATTTTTCATACAAATATAAATTATCCTTAATAATTCTACGACTTTAGTGAAAAGTATTTATGATGTTGAAATTAGAAGTTAATTATTTGTAAAAGAATTTAAATACTATTCAAAACATATTAGAACATATTAGAAATGAAAATTAATCAAAGAATATATATTTTTTATAATTTTTTCAATATAATAATTATATCAATAATAATATTAAGTTTAATAATGTAGTTTAAAAAAAAATATATATTTATTCGCATAGTTTTAATATTTCGGTTTAATTGTACATTCTTCAAACTCATATAAAACAAGTTTTTATAAATATTATAATTTTATTTATTAATATTTTTAGTAAATTAAATATTATAAAAATATGTTATATTTTATTAAAGTAAATTTAATTAAAAAAAAAAAGAAAACCAAAAGGAGAAGAATAAAATTATTGTACTATTAGTTTCAAAAATTATAATTTTGATTACTTCAAACTATGTAAATTAAAGACTATTTGAGTATAATACCATTTATTTTAAAAATGAATTTTCGCTTTTAGTTCCTAAAGCACGCTGTATTAGCACATATGGTTAACAGAAATTATGTTACAGTTTTTTCAACAAAATTTTAATTTAAGTAGTATTTAGTCTTATAACTGCGTTTAAAAAGAAAATAGAACAAAATTCAAATTATATTGACATCATTAAGATTGCTCTATTTTCTACATATACTTTCTACAAATGGCGATAAATATTAGTCCAATAAAAAAGACAACATATAAGTCGACTATAAAAATAAATTGACTTAACAAAACTATTGCAAAATACTTATTAGTCGTTATATTATAAAAATATATTTTACTAAATAGCTAATAAAAAGGAATTCTTGAATAGTAAATTTTTTAGCAAGCACATAAAACCACTTATTTGTTTTATAAATTACAAGTACCTACTGTTTTTAATATAATAAATAAGAAATATTTCTATATACTAAAAATGAACCAAAATTAAATGTATTTTATAGGATCTTTTAATTCATTTTTATATATCTGTTCTTAGAGTTAAATAATCGATTTAAAAACCGGTATCTGAAAAATTAAATAAACTTACATTCTGAATGACAAAAAGATATTTTATTAATTCTTTTTAAATGGTTCAGTATTTAATTCCATTTATATATAATTAATATTTTTGAAATATTTAAACTATATTTAGTAAAAATTCTACAAATATTAATAGTTGTCCAAAGCTTAATTTATATAAAAATATTATAATAATTATAATAATTATAATTAATAATACATTTGTAATTTTATAATGAGAATATATATAATAATTCAAGGAAAATATATAATACTTCAATAGATAAAACATATCTGAGCTCGCAGGTATATAAATTTAATAAGCCATTGAAGTATATAAGTGTATAATCAAATAACAATATTCGTCGAAAGAAATTTTAATTTATTTTTAGTGATGATTTAATTTTTATTTTTCTTTATTTCTGTTTATGTATTGAGATATGCCATCTAACAACATCAATTATATATTATATTATTAATAAATACAAGCATATTAATAATTGATATTATCGCTGTTTTTAATGTACTTTATATCTTCTGTTACAAAATTAAATATACTCGATCATATATTTTTTTAAATAAAGAAGGTTTTTTGTACACGCATGTTTGTACTTCTTTTTATACTTTATTATATTGTTTATCGTGATTTAATCTCATATTTAATACATTGATTGATACCCTTCTCTCAAATTACGTATACCTATAGTTTATGTTGTGTATATAAACAAACAAACAAGAAAAACTCTGTTATTTAGGAATCTTTAAAACAATATAAATACTTAAAATTTGATAACGTATTGATTAATTCATGTTATATTTTCTAATTTAAAAAATGTAAACCATTGTTCACTTCCGTGATTGTAATTACATATATTTAAAGTAAATTTTGGTAAGAAAATATTAGAATAAATTTCGTAGAAAAGATATTACTTGAATATATTTAAATCTTTCTAATATACATTATTACTAAATAAAAAATATAATTAAATATTTGTAATGTAAAACTTTTGCATATTTTTAGCAATATAAATTATTAAATTATATAGGAAAGTTTACATCAATATTTGTACAAATACACAGTAAATAAAATTCAATAATTATAATATACGTACAAGGATATCATTAATAATTTTTAATAATGAATCAGAATTTTTTTAGCAGAAGAAAAAAATAATATTTATTATAAATAAAATACATAAAATATCTTATGAATATAACTACTTACCCTTGCCATGGAGTTGTTGTCGGTTAGTGTCCGCACGCAGATTCTCTGCTGTATGTACAAGTTCATCCAATTGTGGCTTTTTTTGTTCCAGCTCCCTCAAAACTGACTAAAATTTTTTTTAGTACGTAAAATTATATAAATGTTTAAATAACTACTCATTAAAATTTAATTTATTGCAAAATTTATATATTTGCTCAAATATAAAACAGTAACTTTCTTACATCGTGAATTTAATTAGTCATTTTGAATTCTAATTTAAATAATAGATATAAAATACGGAAGGAATAAAATCACCTGTATATAATATACAAAATATATATAATACATTACTATGAGTTTTATGTATTTTGATAATAATGAATATATACAAAATAAATTTATAACGTCATATAATAAAGCATTTATATTAATCGTGGAAATATCATAATTATTTTTTTAACGTATCGGCAAAATATTCCAAACAGTTTAGAAACATTAGTTCATTACTTATTCAATGTGGCTATAATATATAAACATTTATAATATAAATAATTAAAATTGTATTTTTTATAAAGTACATAAAAATGCTAGAAAATATGTATTATTTCAAATTAAAAAGGATTACTAAAATTAAAATTTTTTGTCTCCCGAGCTTCTTATTATATTTTATACTGTTTTCATGGATACTATCATATAAAAGCTTTATAGCAAAAATCTTATAATAAAGGATGTATCATAAAAAAATATAAAATATTTTATTTTAAATTTCATAAATTTAAAATATTTAGTTTAAATGAACATTGTATTTATAATTAAGCAAATGTTAATTATTATATTTGTTCGTTATTGAAATTTTACTTTAAATTCTTCAAAATAAGACTTCATTATATATATAATAATATAAAAAAACAAATATGGGAAATAATACTCTAATTAATATATAAGTTTAAAGAACGTTGAATGTTTAAAAATCTGTAATGATATTTCTTTTTGTTATTTATTGATATACTTTTTAATACTTTAACAAAATTTTGAATAACCTTAAGAGTTATTCTATCAGACATCTTTAGTATTATTCTATCATTCTTTTTTAATTATTATTTATCTATTACTAACTTAAATAATCGGCATCCTTAATTTATCGATGACTTTTTAAAACTTTTCATCGTTGAGTTTATTGCAAATTGACCAAAATTTCTGTCAAATCTTATTATAAATATTAAATATCTCAGTTACTGATTTCTATCATTACGACTGTATAAAATATCTTTAGATGGTCATTTGTAGTCTGGTATTTTAACGTAAAGTATAAATAAAAAATTCTGAATTCTCTATTTGTAAGCTGGTTTCATTTTCTGTAATAATTTTAAACGTGGCGAAAAGCGAGATAGATAATTATTTGTGTACGAAAAAATGAAATCGATATGAGGCAGAATTTTTTCGCGTTCAAGGAAACGATTCTCAAGCATCGCATGGTACATATAAAATAGTTTGCTAGTCCTCCCTCAATTTTCCTTTTCTTTCAAGTACCCATCGATCACCAGTTCTAGGTAGACAGTTTCTTTTGCACCTCTTTTGTTCACACGCAAGTTAGTCAGACAATCGATAGTTTGACACAAAACTATTCTCATAGACTTAGTTCTTTCTTTTTTCTAGTCACTCTCTCTCTCTCTCTCTCTCTCTCTCTCTCTCTGTATCCTAAATGTGAATCGATGCATGTGCGTTAGCACTTAAGATTCACCATGTGTACTTATATGTATGTCAATGCACTGATACTTTCTTTTTTCCATCGCTCCTTAGAGTTACACGTTTGCTTACTCACATATTTTCTTCCTTTATCTATCTATCTCCATTTCTATATATATATGTATAAAAGTACACACATGTATAAATAAATGAATGTGCCAGATGTTGCTCGAAGCAATTAACAATTTCGTAAACTTGAAAGTTTAAAATCACAAAACGAGAAGTTTATATACTGTATATTTAATAGTTTAATTAATAATTATAATTGACTTTTGTATTTTAGTATTTTATTTAATAATCAACTATCCTTAGGTTTAGATATTTTATTCAACCGCGAATGAATTTTTGTTCATTCTATTTCATTTCAATATATAAGACTTTTAAATTTATATATAATAATGAGTTATACTATGCTATTCTCAAATATTTTCACATATTTAGCTAAGTCTATACAAAGAATAATTAAAACACTATATTTATTTACGAAACAATTCGTAAACACCAATATAATTAAAATTCGAAATTATTTGATATCCACTTATTAAAAAATAATTTAAGAAGCACTTAATACATCAATTTTTTAATACATACTTTAGATTACCATATTGAAATATGCAAATTAAAAAAAAATTTATACAATTTTTTTTTTAATTTTATAAATATTTAAGCTAAATGTAAAAATACTCTATTTTTTCGTATTGTCAATCTAGAATGATGGATTATCTACATTTACCTTCTACGTATTAATACTCAAGAAATTAAATCTTCTAATTATATTTGGACATTTTACAAACTTTATATTTTATTAATTTATTAATTTATTAATTGAAGTAATCTAAATAAAAATCTAATGTAAATAAAAATAAATAATTTCTATTATAACAATAATTCAAAAATAAAAATCAATAAATAATTATTTTAGTAATTAAAATTAGTTCTAAACTACTGTTTAAATTTGTAATATGTTATATTAAATTCACTGAAAGAAACTCCTATAAAATAGGATATATATAATAGAAACCTATTCTATCAATATAACAAAAATTAATTTGTTAAGTGAACGTTATATAAATATATTGTCCGAGTGACAAAAGAAAAATAAATCTTAATCCTAAAGATAAGCATTTAAATTAATTATTGAGAATAATTATTAATTCAATTAAATATTCATATAGTTCATCATACCATAAATAATAAATACAAACAAGAAAAAATATTTGTTAAGAAATCTACTTTTATATGAAAATTGTGTATTAGAATTAATTTTTAGTTTAAATTTTTAAATGAATTTATTTTAAAAACAGAAGTTATAAATATATAATAACAATATTGTTATTAGTATTTCAAATAATCATCGTCATATTAATGCAGAGACCAAACAAATACCTTTAAATTTGTTAAATTTCTCACATTTTTAATCATTATTTTTTTAATAAACAATTATTTGATTAAAGGATTAAAAATTGACCTTTTGTTTGTTAATGAGTTGAAGGATGTTATCTACATCACCCACTACAACGATCTGTTGGCGTATCATATCTTCTTTCTCCGTAAACCAATCACGTATCTGAAATTATTAATTTAAAAATAGCTAATGAGAAGGTAAATTAAAAGTTATTTTGTAAACAATAGTATATTTAAATTTCTTTAAAATAAATCATTATTTTATTTTTTAAATTTTTATTTATGTGGACAATTATAAAAACATTAAAAAATTTTAATTCATTCTATATATCTTATAGATGTTTCCTAATACATTATAAATATAATTAAAAAACAATATATTTTGTATATATTTTAACATTTTTGATTATTTAAAAATAAATTTTTATTTTAATAATATTTTTCTACATGTTATATAATTCAACCAAGCTTTTTAGTTGATAACTAATGATCATTTTTGTAAACCACATTTTGTTTAATAACTCGAAACATTCAGTAAAATTAATTTATATTGTTCTTCTATATGCATTAATTATTTTTCTGTAACTATTTCAATTCACAAATTCTCATATTTAAAAATATTCCTGAGAAAAGCTTAATTTATGCATAAATTTCGTATATGTTCAATATAGAGTTATTTTTATAAATATGGTTTTAAAAATATAAAATTATATTTACATTAACATGAACTTAAAGAGTCGATACAACTGATGTCAGAAACAATTTGTTCCTTGTACTAAAGAAAGAGATACTTAATTAAGAAAATGAAATTATGGTGCAAGTTTCTTATTGACTAGTTTATAACATTGTCTTTAAGGTAGATTAAAAATATCACTTACTTAATATATAAATGTACGCATGAACATATTTACAGTATACCAACTTCAATTTTTGTTATAAAAAATAAGAAATAATCAATGATATTGTACTTTCTCAAATTTAGAATGAAAATGCTGTTAGTCAATAATATAAGCTTTGATATTTAATAAATTATATTTATTATTTAGTTAAATATTTACATTTTTGTTTAAAATGAAAATTAATATTTACAAACTATTTATCATTTACAAAATTAATTTTAAGACAATAGTACAGAGAACCAAGAACGTACAGTATTATTACCTCCTCCTCCCTCTCTCTGATTTATGTAGGACTTTAGATAAGCATGCTAATGATCGATACGTAGGAATTCCTAAATTTTCCTAATAAATAAAATCCATATTCAGTAATGAAGTAAATTTCTTTATTTATTGCTGTGATTCGTTAACACCATCATATAATATTTTTATATTTTCATACAAATCCACCATAAATATTTTCTAGATTAAATTTTAATGATCTTCCATTGTCAAGAAAGGCATTTTAAATATGTTAAATATCTGTTATATTAAAAATATTTATTTCTTTATTACAAATACAAAATCAAGATTATATATTATAGTACTCCATATTCTTCATTTGTAAGTTTCATATTAATAAAACGAACTAATCATTAAGTTTAAGTTAAAATTTTAAGTATTTTAGAAATAAAAAAGGCTTAAAATTTTAAACGTATATTATATATAAAATTCCACTAATAAAAGGTATTTTTCGATATGCTGCAATATTAATTTTATAACTGTACATATGAAGTTTATTGAGATAAATATCACACATTATAATATATTTATTTTAATAATAATAATAAATTAGTACCATTAGATTATTATAATTATTGAAATAATTAAAAATTATGCATTAGTATATCACTTTATGTAATTTAGAATGATATTATTTACGTCTGTGATATCAATATTTACGATATTGCTACTATAAAATATTGTTAAAATATAAAAAATTTTAGTTCCGCGTGTTATTACCTAATATTTTACTTAAAAAATTAAAAAGATTTAATAATAGTCTGACATTAATCAAATACAATAATTAAATTTTAAAAAAGTAAAATTATAAAAAAAATAAATAAAAAAATGTAATAGTATTATCAGTATTAGAAGTAAAATGAATTTTAACAACTTTAAAACAAATAGAAAGAAGTTTCAAAATACCAATAATTACCTGGAGTAATTGACTATTCAATGGGACTCGAGGTGTTGTAGTGATGATGTCGGTTGTGGAAGAGAAATCGAACGAACTTGTCGAGGGGTTACTCACACCAGGGGTGGAAACAGCAATTTTGGAGGGGGCGACGGTGTACGGTCCTCCGACCGCATCTGCCGTTGATCCGACAGCCGAAGAATCGCCGACGCTTGGTGCTGCTGTACCTATACGTCTTTCCCGTTCTGCATCAAGTACAAAATGAATCGCTATTAATTGATCTATCATACTAAATTTTGCTCAATAATATTGGCATTAATAACACTCTTAATATTGTTTGAATTTTGTTTGAATCATAAAACAACGATAACACTAATTTCATTAATAGGTAAAATTTTATTTACTTTGTTCAAAACAGGATTTCAATTATATTTTTAAATAAAAATGTATAGAATAACGGTATTTGAATGAGCCATTATTTATATTCTTTGAATATAGGTAATCAGTATAATCTAATTCTAAAAATGTATCTTGTTTCTACCTTATGTTTCTAGTTGTAAATTACATAATTAATCAATTTACAGTAAATCTAAAATTTAATTACTACTAATAATTGATAAAAGCGATATTTTCTGTATGCTTATATATATAATTATTATAATTGAAATAAAAATATAATTTATATTAAATTAAATTTAAATATAATTTAAATAATTTATAAATTAATAACTAATGTTTATATTAGAATTATTCTACCTTATTCTATATTATTTCTATTATATTATTATTATTATTATTTCTATATTATTCTATCTTATTCTATATTTCTATATTATATCGTTTTTGTTTTTTCAATTTAATTTAATATAATTCAATTGCTATAAATATTGCTAGAATTAATTAAAAAAGTAAAAATTTACTTTGAAAAAATAATAGTCCTTAATTCTTATTTAATAAAAAATTAGAATTGATTTGAAGCTTTTACTTCTTACATGCGTCCGCAGAAAAACTCAGAAATTGAAAATTTTTTTAATTCAATTTTTAGTAACTTAAATACGAAATGATAATCATAAGGGTTTGAATTATTTAAATAAAGGTAATATATCACTGTGTCGAGTGTAATGTATGGAAATCTGTAATATATTATATTTAATATACTTAAATTATAAATGTATTAAATGCTTTTTTGATACAACAAAAACTCTCTCTCTTCTTCTATCTGTGTCTTCTTTATTCTTTTATGTTAATAGGTATCTTTATTTTGAACAAAAATAATAATATAAATTTCTAAAAAATTCTAGTATAAAATTATTCTATTAAAAGTCTACTAAAAATGATTTAAATTACATTTAACAAATACTATAATTATTCTAAATTTTATTATTTTATATTTTTAATAAAAAATTTCTTTTTATATTTATTTTGCCGATACAAAAATTCAATTATTATAAATAAATAAAAAGTTCCAATTTTGAAAATTCTCTTCAATTAAAATGTATTATGTTTGACAATAAAATTTGAACATTGAAACAAGGGGTGTTTAAAATAAAATTAAGTAATGTACAGAATCCAAATTGTTAACAACTGTATTATAACTATGCTGAAGTAGGGGTGACGATACCATCAATATCGGCAATTATGATAAAGAACAACATAATGTGCGAAATGACATGCAATATTTGCAATATGCAATGACATGCAAATTATCTACTATTACGTCTTTTTATGGTAAAACTCGTTAAATTTTATATAATATTGAAAATTTTATCTAACATATATAAAGGTTTATTTTTCACATTATATTACATTTAATTTATATGATTCAATATTTTGCATATGAAATATTTTTATTGAAATCTATAAAAATATATATTTTAAATAATTATATGTAGTTATCTTATTTATATGCATATATATATATATATATAATATTAACTTTGTTTTTAAGAAAGTATTTTTGTATATTAAAAATAATATTAACTTTTTACATATTAGAAACTTACGTATAAGTATTTTAGATTAAGATAATTTCCCCTATATCAACATAGATCACGGTGAATGTTAGACTATCTCCCATAAATTTATTTTTAATGTATGCTTTAACACAGTATATCTTTGTACGCATTTTTTAAATAATTTTTTAAGGTATTATAAAACTATAATGCAATTTCTATTAGAATATAATAGATCCAGTTTATATAGTAAATAGTTTATATTTCAGTTTATAAATGAAAAAGATTTTTTATATTAAACAAACATCATAATATAATTATATTTTAATGATAATTTATATCTGTTGGTAATATAAAATAATAATATGAATAACTAATGAATACTATTATTATTATAGGCACTTTTTATAAACTTTAATCTATTAAACGAAATAAAAATTGAACAACCATGTATTTAAATGTAGATATATATATTCACAATACCAAACTTACTAATTCATTGTTTAATTAACCCCTAAATCACAGTAATTTTGTATCTAAAAAATAAAACTCTCTTAAAATATGTTACTAAGGTGAGTTGAATTGAAAATATCTATCAAGAAATACAATAATAAAATCTAATTATATAACATTATTATCAAAGTAAATTAATTTTGAACACTTGATAAATAAATGAAATTATTTTAGTTCACTTTGAAATTCCAAATTTGAAATTAAATTTAATTGTTGCCAGTGAGTAAACATGCAGTTTCAAATTCCTTTATAAGAATACGGAAAAAACATCTGTACAATATCAAGTGTATAGATAAGGGTAAACATTTAAACGAAATTTTCTAAAACGTTTATCTTTAACTATTCGAGGTCCAGAAAATGAAATGCTAAATACATTTTATAACGTTTCGTATAATAAGTATTAACAATTTTGAATAAAATCGAATGTATCTCCCATCATATACTTAAATACCCAACATATAGATAAATATAATAAAAACAATTATATATATATTAAGAACTTCGCTATTTTTAAAGTAAATTTAATTTCTTTTTTACATTTTTAATATTTATTTGTGCTGTAATTAGAGAGTCTATTTTTTTCTAAATTTGCAAATCAAAGACAATCGTTTTTATGCAAATATTAATTGC